TTTTAGGATAATTTCTAGTTTATCTTTGAAGTTCCATTATAATTATGGTTTGAGTACTATGTAGGTGCATTAGTCGTTTAAATCTATTTTGTTTAGGTTCAATTAGATAAACACCTTTATTTACTAATTAGTTTAGTCTAGGTTTTTTGCTGTAGGATTCAATTGCATTTTTTCTTTATTACTTGATTATTGTTTTGGTCTTTGTTTTTGTTAGTTGCCGACCTAGTCCATGTTTGTTTGATCTGTGCATCATTATACACTTGTAAGGGTTTATTTGAACAAAAGAAAACTTAAGGGGTCATGAGAGGGGTGAATAAATCTGAAATAGGATAAAGACCATGCTAGAAGGTTCTAGAATAGGGGGCAGCTAGCCTCATTTGGTTAGTACAAAAATACTAAAACCAATTAGGGACAGCCAGTTGTCCAATTCTATTAAAATGTGCCTTTTGTGGCTGATGGAATGATTCCTTTATTCTTTCAGCACATGGCATTTTTGTGCCTATATATGGTACATTTTCTTCACTCATTCACAAACACACATTCAGATTTTCAAAATCCTAAAAAATACTCTCTAAAAGTTCGGCTGATGTGTTCTTAGGAGTTGATTCCTTCTCTGATTTTAGCGAAAGACAACTTAAAGAACTTTGTGGGATTTTCTGGTTGTCACAAGTTAAAATGGATTGAATCTGAGGATTTCTTGTTTCTCTAGGGTTTACTGCTGTTGTTTGGGTTCTGTTGCTGCTCCATTTTTTTTAAGTTTCAATCAGCTTGTGCATCTGTTAGTTGCTGGTTTTTTGTTGTTTTTGTTCGAGGTACTAAACCCAACTTTTCTTCATGTAATGTCTGTTAAAAATGATATAAAATTAAAACTACATAATTACATGTGATAAATGAGTATTTTTTATGTTTTGGTTGATTACATAGATAGGGATCTAATCAGTCTTTTGTTATATGAGTTTGAGCTTGAATCATCTGGTAGGAGTAGTTTGATTAACACATTGATGTTTGTAGTTCCTTCCTGAAAGTAGCTTGGTTTAAAGATGTTTCTTTAGTTAAGTGTTCTTCTGATTCTGAGTGTTAGTTGTTTAAAGTCATTTCTTCTCCTTCTTCTTCTGTTATTGAATGAATTGGTGTTTATTTGAGGTCATTTGGGGTTTGTTTTCTAACCATGAGCTAATACCCGTGGATTTGGCCACTAGTTGGCCAAATCAGCAGGTTCAAACGCTAAGAGTCTAAATTCTACTGTTTGGCATGCTGAATCTAGTGTTCTTCATGTAAGAGACCAAGCTTTCAATGGATAAATCATGTCCAAAAAAGGCAGGTGTTCATTAGGCCATCAATTACATGGGAGTAGTAATAGATTAGCGGCTAGTGTAGTAGTTCATGTATTTAATAGGTTATAATGTAATATTTCTGATTTCGGAAAGCTTTATTTTCATCTGGAGTACTGTAATGAGTGAGGTTCTAATCTTATGTACTAAGATTAAATCAACTGCTGTTAGGAGTGTAATTATTTTGTTGTGATATTTTCGTAAGCATAAGTGATGCAATGACCAAGGCTATGGGCCAAACCTCCAAAGCTAAAAGGCCTGTTTCTGCGACTAAAGTTGGGCTAGACTTGCGAAAAACCAATCTTGACAAGTCTGGGCCTAGGAAATTGGGCCTGGGAATTAAACCCAAATAGCTTGGCTTAGTTATAAATTTTCTCTTGTGAATTCCAGTATAAATAACTGCCTTTATGTTTCTTTGCAAATCATAATAGTGCAATTAATCTTCAAACTGGAGTTGTATTTTGATTTCAGATTCTGATTTTTCTACTTAAAAGTGACTAGATTTTTGACAAACATGTATTATGTAAGTTTTAGCTTAAACGTGAAGGTAGATAGGCCCAGTCAGTAGATATCAGCATCTGCGCCCGCCTGATATAAATCCAATATGGGCCAGATTTGGTTTTACAATCGGACCTGGAAAGGCCCATAAGTTTCCTCACTTCTGGGCCAAATTTTGAGCCCAAATGCAGCTTCAATGTTAATTTTCCCTTGACCAAACAACCAATGGGTTCCTGTTGGCCCAAACCCTTTACCCAAAAATGATTAAAGGTCCAATATATATAACCCCAAATATGTTTATAACTAATAGCTTTTTATTAAGTTCAAAGTAGTTTTAAATAGGTGCACCCGTTAGTTTGCCTTAATTGAGTACAAATCTTTAAAAAATGAATCGAGGCGTGTCATTCATAATTGAATCACCTAATCTATGGCCCTCATATTAATTTTATAAATTAGTGTAGAAAACACTTTGAACACTCGTAATTTGCTTTAGGCGCTTTTAAAATAAAATCATCATCGCTACGGGTACGGTTCCCATGATGTAGTTGTGATACCTAATTTCCAAATTCGGGGGTACATTTATGTGACCCGGCCACAACCTCTAATAACGTTAATAAATTAAACATATTGTAGATCGTGGGTACGATTCCCATGATATGATTCGCGATGTGTATCAAATAAACAAGTGTACGACAATCGTAACTTGTTCCAGAAATATTCCATAAAAATAATTAAAAGTGGTTATAAGTTTAAAAATGCACAATAGTTTAAAAACATGTAGTAAATCAGATAATAGGTCAATTATTAATAGTTTAAGCGACCGTGCTAGAACTACGGAACCTGGGAATGCCTAACACTTTCTCCCGGGTTAACAGAAATCCTTATCTAGAATTTCTGATTCGCGGACTTTTAAATAAAGTCGAAAATTTTTTCGAATTGGGATTTAAAATAAACCGGTGACTTGGGACACCAAAATAAACTATTCCAAGTGGCGACTCTAAAAGATTAAATAAATCGATTAATGTCACTTTAATTGGAAAAATTCTCTTATATACATCCCCTCGGGTTGTAAAAAGGAGGCGTGACAAGTACTTCTTTTTTTTCTTTTCCTTCTAGGTCTCCCGTGCACATCCATGCCTTTTTACCATAATTCTCTATTTTTTTCAAGCTCCCCTCATCTAGCTCGTTCACACTCTTGTGTGCATGCGAAAGTAAACGAGCGAAGTTCTTCTTTTGCCTTTTGGTTCCGAATCAACTTCTTTTGCTCACCTTTCGTCCAACTTGCTCCTACACATAAGAATGCACTTAATGAGCATAATTCATTATAAAAACTCATGTAACCTCCCACATTCATACAAGTATGAGATGAAAGTACACCGAAAAATATTCCTTTTTAGCTGTTTATCAAAGTAAAATTAAGTTATTTCAACGTGACAGAAATGCCAACAAGAAAGAACCAATATTCACACAATTGACTCCTTCTACGCTCCATGACTATTTTTCTTATTCTCCATTCAATACCAACTTCACTCTACAACAGTCAAGATCGTCTTATCTAATTGTTATTTCACAAAAAAATTATGATGGATGCTAAATCTTACCCTTGTACATAACTATGAACCTAACTGTTGAAGCCCGGCAATAGTTCTCCTCATTCCTTGGTAGGTTTGGACTAGGTGTTTAACCAGAAAATAGAAATTTCGGTCAAAGCTTAATTTTAAAAGAACTCGGGTTACTGATAATCAAATAAAAAAATAATTATGTAATGAAAAAGGAAAATTGAATTGAGAAGTAGCCGAATAAGCAAAATAAAGCAATGTAAATCAATATATTCCAATAATAATCAGTGTCCAAAATGTTATTTCTCTCCTTTTATAGCTATTTCTAAGTACTATATTTCTTTCTTCTCATAATAAAGCTATTATGAGCAATTAATGGCATTAATGAAATGTTATAATTGGCAATTGTAACTGTTTCATGAAGATTCTATAACGTTCCTCATCATTTATGCTCATTAATTGCAGATAATACGTATCTGTACTTTTTTGCTATCTTGGTTCATTTCATCGATGTCTCTTCAGATTATCAAGAGGTCCAAGTAACCGTTCTTTCTTGTTTTCTTGAACTTTTGCACGTACCTATTAAGGCTCGCGTCTCTTTGTGTACTCTTTGTCAGCTGTCACTCTTTTATTGATCCACGAGTCTTGACATATCAGGCACATAATTAATCCCAAATGTTAACTCGATTTTCCCCAATACACTAGGGGGAAGGGAGAATAAAGAAAGAACCAAAATAGAAGACAATACTCATTTTTAGGGGTGGTCATGGTTTGGGCAAATCCGAAATTCGAATTTATTGATTTTTTGGTTTGGATTTTCGGATTACGAATTGGATTTTGGATTTAATTTTTAAAATTGTTGGATTTCAAATTTGATATTGGATTTGGTACATCGGATATTTGGATGTCCGAAAATTCGAAATTTTATGCTTTATAGATAGTCCATTATCCATATGCCAATAATAATAAGTTCAATATCTTACCCATTAGATATTATCTCATATATTCTGTGAGCACGTGATTTTTGCCCTATATGAATTACTCCCACAAATTCAAAACAAAATAAATTTTTTTCCATTATTTGCAATTTTGTGGATTTTTGTGGCATTTTCTACCAATTGTTTGCATTTCTCTGTGCATGTTTATTTTATTTAAATAATGAAAAATACAAAAATATGTTGCATTTGCATTTAGGATTTAACTTTGCATTTTTGAATTAAGTAGTAATTAGTTATTTTATAAGAATTGGAAAAATCACAAAAATAGTTATTTTGCACTTTTAATTTTAATTTTTCTTTAATTTGGTTCTTAATTATTTGTGGTAATTGTTATTTGGAGTTAGTTAATTTAATTTGATAAAACAATTTGATTAGGAATTAATTTGGGTGTCATTTTTAATTTTTACTTAAAAGAAATTAGAAAAAGAAAGAAATATTAAAAAGAAAAGAAGTAGAGAAATCAGATTTTGGGCTGCTTCATTTTAATTCTCATAGCCCAAGTCAATTAAACCAAATGGCCCAATTACCTTATACCTACCCAGCCCAGACCATTAACCCATTAACCCTTCCCCTCTATATACCCTAAATACACATTATCTGGAGGGGAGCTAAAAAAAATGAGAGAGGGACGCATATAGAGGAACGGCGCAGAAAGACTCCTTTGGAGCTTGATCTTCTTCCTCATCAAAACGAAAAACTCAACCGCTTCTTTTGCTTTTCTCTCGAGAACACAAATCTCTCTTCATATTACACTGCATTTCTCTCAAAAAATACAGTAATGAAAAGCTGTTGAGAATTGAAAGTAGCTTAAAAATTCAATTGGAGATCTGAGCCTTCAAAGAACTTTTTCATCACTCGAAAAGCTCGAAATTGGAGTGTTTAGCTGGGTTTTGGGTTTGGATATAACTCGAAAAGGGGAGTTGTTTTGTTGTTGTTGCTCCCACGTTGCTAGCTGAGCTCCAATTTTTTGTTTCAATCGTTATTTGGCTTCTTTGTCTTCTAAATCTCATCCTTGCGTAATTAGGTATGTTCTCTTTCAAGCTATTGTAAGATCTGTTTTAATGAGAAGTTCCTTGATTTGTCGCTTTTCTGATTTCATTTGTGAACAACGTTGAATGAGTTGTCTGTTTTCGAAATATTGTAAATGCTAACGGTGTTCGAAAGGTTAATTCAAGTTTGTCGTGGCAGATTCCTTATCTAACTGGGTTTTGCTGTTTGAGCTGTCTTCATATTCCGGCCCTTTAATGTTAAGATTCTGCTTCATGTGAATTGAAAAGTTAATAGGAATTTATATATGAAATTTTCATTTTTGGCAAATACGATTCCGAGCCGATCTTAAGGATGAGACAGAGTTCGATACTTCACAATTTTTGGAGAAATGGGATTTTCAGCATTGTTAGTTTGCTTTCCTTCAACTGATTTATATATGTAACCAAATTGTGAAGATTTTTCGATTTTCTTAGATTGCCAAGTGAAAGACAAATTATCCGAATGTTTAAGGAGTTACATGCCACTGTCTGTTTCCATGGTTTCTAAGATACGTTTTTCTCCTCGAGAGCATAATTTAGCACTATTAGTTGTACTATCAAGCATGCCATTCATACTCTAAAATCGTCATTTTGGTTGTTCTAAGAGGTATTTTTGTTGTGCATGACCAAAGAAGTATCCCATGCACAAGTGATTAAAATTGGAAATATATCCAATGCCTTTTTGATTTCCTCGCTTATTGACATGCACTACAAATTTGGATGCATAAGCCAAGGAAAGGCTTTTCAAAAGATATGGCAAGGTTGATAGGGTGGATATGAAATCTAGTTTTGCTTTTGTTTATATGGACGATGATTTCTTGTTAGCGGCATTGGCTTTGTTGCTAGAAAGAATTGAAAAATAAAAATCAAAATAGGCACTGAACTCAAGGATTTTTAAAATGGAATTAGAGTTCTAGGATTTAAGAATTAGTAATGGGTGTGAAATTCTGAATCAAAAGATAAGCTTGGGTCTTTGGAATTTTTGAGTGGGATTGGAAATAAAAAAAACACAAGTATATTGGAGGTGTGCTATATTAGACAATACAAATAGTATGGCCCTCGTAATTTAATTTAGAAACCTCTTGATTAGAATAACCGAGGTGCGTCGTGCCAAACAAAAATGACAATTGCATGGCCCTCGTTTAATTAATTTTTCTTGAATCCTTAGAAATCGAGGCGTGCTATTTAGTTAAATTTTCCATGGCCCTCGCAAAGTTGAAAGTGCGTAGTTGCTTTAGGCGCGCTATTTTAAAATTACTTTCCTAAACTCGGGTGCGCATTTATGTGACCCAAATCCAAAACTCAACAATGTTATATAAAATGTGTTGCATACTGCGGGTGCATTTATGTGACGTGGTTCAAGGCATATTTTAAATGACGTTGCAAATCTTTCTTTAAAAATGGCTAAAAGCGGTTATAAAGCTAAACTTGCACCATAGGTTAAAACATGTATTAAAATCATATAATAGGCCAATTATAATAGTTGAGCGACCGTGCTAAAACTACGGAATCCGGAAATGCCTAACACCTTCTCCCGGATTAGCAGAATTCCTTACCCGGATTTCTGTATTCGCGGACTGTAAAACAGAGTCAATCTTTTCCTTGATTCGGGATTTGAAACGGTGACTTGGGACACCATAAAATTATCCCAAGTGGCGACTCTAAATTTTTAATAAAAATAATCCTGTTTCGATTGTCACTTTAAGTTGGAAAAAACTCCCTTATCTATACCCTTCTCGGGGGGTAGTGAAAAAGGAGGTGTGACAGCTCGGGCGACTCTGCTGGGGATCGAACCCAGAATCTCTGGTTTAGGGTTCAGAATTCGAGTTTAGATGAATTGTTGTGTTTGGATTTATCTTTTATCTGATTACATGTTTGGGCCTAATGTGTTATATGATGCTTTTACCGCTTTTATATTATCTGAACTGTATATAAACTGCTACGAAACCCTTCTCTTCCCATCTTTGGGGATGTGCTCGCTGGTAGAGACTCCTTATTCTGTTAGTGTCACACCTTGAAATAAGAAAGAGGCTCGGACAAGTTACTAAGCCGGATGGCCTTTTTGTTCCCGGTACGTAGCCCCTTCCTCGGCTCGAGTTGTCCGCTCGGATACACAGTCTATAACACATACCCAGGTTTTGAACCTAGAATAACTCAGCCTCATGTCGGATACCTAGTAGGAACGCTTGTTTGCATCACGTGCATCTGACTTTGGGGACTCAACATAGGGGTTGGGTCCGTCTAGGACAGGTGTACCCAAAAATAATAGACCATTTTGATGCATCCTATGTGTTACATGTTGCATTCCTTCAAGGGTAAAAGGGTCATTTGGCAGACCAATGATAGTTGAGGGCAAATGAAAAAGGAAAAGAAAAAGAAAAATAGGTTGAAGTGTGAAGATAAAGCGAGTGGGCCCAATTATGTTTTCTGTCACATTCTTGTTAAAAAAAGAGCTTGAAAATTCAAAAAAAAAAAAAGAGATTTTGCATTTTTTCTTCATTTTCCGTAAATCAAAAAATCAAAAAAAAAGTTACATGTCTCACCATTTTTTAAAAAAAAAAGACAAAAAAAAAATATGTTTTCTCTAAATTAGTTATTTTTTAATTCTCGCCCGTATCCAATCTGCCCGAACTATGCATACCTGATTCTCGTCTTTCGGGGCGTGATACGTAGGCAACCCACATAGGGTCCGGTCTTCCTAGTAAATCTTAGGTTCTTGGCTTTGCGGGGTCTTAGCCAAATTTTGCACTTCTAGCCATCTTTTGGCCAAATAAGTCATTTTGCAAAAATAGCGTAAATCATGTCTTGCATGTTTCCAACAGGAAGGGTTATTGTCTCACATAGCGCTCTAGGTCTTTAACCTATTTGGTTTTAATTTTCTCATACAAACATGGATTTACTTATCGGAGTTTGAGCATGACAGAGCACCAGGACATCTAGTCAGGATCGCTCATTCAGGAGTGGATTAAAAGAAGATTTTCTTTTCTTTTTATGTTTTGAGTCTGTTTTTTATTTTTTTTTATTTTATGTCGTCTTTTTCCTTTTAGTTTTGTATAGTAATGTCGAGTTTTATTATTATTATTGTACTTTCTATTTTGCATTTGAAAGGGTGTGTAATGAATCAAAAATCCAAAAAAAAATTGCGTTTTATATTTCCGTTAGGAATTTTCTTTAGAATATTAATTGTAGGAATGAAAAAAAAAGTATTTTCGATGTGGTTTTTCCTTTACGCAATTAATATCTAGGACTTAAATAAAAATTATTTTTATATTCTCTTTACAATATTAGGACAAAAATTCAAAAAAATCCTTTTAGTACCTTTTTAAAAGTCTTTTAAGGCATTAATCTCAAAAATCCAAAACGATTTTCTTTTGAGGTTCTTCTTTGGGAAATTAATGAAAAATTAAAAAAATATTCTTTTATTTTCCCAAGAACTTTAGGATATTGTACATAGAAGAAAAAAGAACATACTTTATCTTTTGTTTAAAGTTTCTTCCTTTAGGCAATCAAATTGAAATCCAAAAACATGTTGTTTTATCTTTTTCATTGCTTGTTTCAAAATCCTGCATAAGGATATCAAATGAAAATTCAAAATATTTTTCTGTGGTTTATTCTTTCGATCTTCTTCCTAAAAAAAAGAATCAAAAAATATTTTTTTTCTCTTCTAGGATTTTTCCTAAATAATTTCTCATAGAGTGTTTGTTTCAAAAAAGAAAAAAAAGCAAAAAATAAATGCTCGTTAAGCTTGAGTTTGCAATAGGTTATAGAACATTAAGTCTAGAAAATTCAAAAAAAAAGATTTGCTTCTTTTATTCCTCTTTTCTTATAAGAATAGTCCAAAAAAAAAAGAGAAAAGAAAAAAGAACGTTAGTTTGTTTACTTTATTCCCGTTCTTCCAGAACTATGCAAAGATCTGATTCATGCGGCGTCATGATACGTAGGCAACCTACATAGGGTTCGATCGAATAACTTTTTTTACTGTTAAAAGAAAAGAAAAAAAAGGAAAATGGAAAAAAAGAGAAAAAAAAAAGATGAAATTGTGGGATGTGAGAAATGAAAGAAAGAAAAGAGTGAAATTAGAAAAAGAGGAAGGAAAATGATCAAGCAAGTGCTAGAAAAGCAAAGAAAAGAGAGGATTGAAATGAATAAATTGGAATGATGCCAACTGATCTTCGTACCCTTGAAGTCATTTTAGAACCGATAACTGTGGGTAGGTGCATTGCACATAAAGTGAGATTATCTTATGTTAAATACCCTAACGCTAACGTGATGGCTTCATTTTATTATATTCATAGCAAAAGGGTGGTTGGTTTGTGGTTTTAAAAGTGGTAACTCTTCTCTACAACATAAAGTCAAAAGGCAATGGCAGACAACAACAAAACTGAGTTGGTTGATACCGGTGCCCGGAAGCAGTTGTTTGAACAGGACAATGGGTTGGTTGAAGAGGTAAAGATGTTAAGACAACACATGGCGGACATGTATCAGGCTTGGATGACTGGGAAGGCACCACCCCCGCCACCACCTAGCTTCCTAGATGTTGCCCTTACCCAAACTCCGGACCCAATGTCATATGATCCTCCATACTCTCTAGATCCACCCGCTTTTCACAGCTTTCCCAACCACCCTAGTAGCTTCATCACTCGTCTCCAACTACCTTTTCCCAAAAGTGCCCTCCTGTCACATCCACTATACCCGACAATGAACACCCACTCAAAGCTCATAATGCCCAACATTACCCCTCAGAGGTCGCCCACAAGGTTCCCAACTCATACAAACAGGGCCCGCGGGATGAGCCTCATGTTGAAAATGAAAAGTTCACAGGAAGAAAAGGGCAAGATGGGATACCTAGGAGGCTGAAAGGCATAGAACAGTCCTTAAAGAACAAGCAAGGAATGGGAGACCAAGGTAGCATGTCTTACAAATAATTGTTTATGCCCCCTGACGTTCGTCTGCCTGCGGGGTTTAAAGTACTAAAGTTTAACTTGTATAATGGGTGTGGAGATCCGGTATCCCATTTGAGGGATTATTGCAGTGAAATGAGAAGTGTTGGCGAGAAAGATGATTTGTTGATGGCGTATTTCAGTGAGAGCCTGACTGGGGTAGATTTGGAATGGCATAATCGTCAAGATGTTGGTAAGTGACCTACATTGGGTGACATGGCTCAAGATTTTGTTCGGTGCTTTCAATATAGATCAGGTGTTACCCCAGGCCGCTCTTCCCTATCTAAAATGGAAAAGAAGCCGGAGGAAAGCTTTAGGGAGTTTGGGCTCAGATGGAGGGAGAAATCTGCTCGAGTCAATACCCCGATTGGTGAAGAAGAAATGGTTGAGCTTTTCCTACAAGCCCAGAGGCCCACCTACTTCAGTCATTTAATCCCGGCCTTGGGAAAGCCTTTCAATGATGTGTTAAAAATAGGGGAGCTAGTAGAAGAGGGAATCCAGTCAGGCAAAATCATGAGTTGTTCGAAAGACATTCAAAATATCCCAGTAAGTTTGGGTGGAAGAAAGA